TCCACCATTCACCTCCAGAAACATGTCACCATCACCCTCTGGAATCTCTCAATGACGGAGAGCTAATGATCTGTAGGGAACCAGTTCAGTGTGGGGAGATTGACCATCAGGGCCCTGGTCATGCAGGTATGAAATTCTCAGGCTATGTCCCAGGGTGGAAGGATGGAATGGGCTTCCCTAGGGAAAGGGAGGGGTGGGAGTGGTGCAAGACCTCTCCCCAGGAGGGTTTGTTCAGTCCTGCCCTCACTAAGCCCTGCCAGGGGTGGGCATGATTGCAGGGGGTTGCCCCGGTGAGTGGGGAAGAGGGATACTAGGAGAGAGAAGGGGGGAACTCACAGGTGCCGTGCCATGCCTCCCCCTCCCTCTGTGATTGTCAGTTTGTCTCCTGCGGGTGGTCAGGGTGATCAACACCATCCTGCTGCACAGTTATCCGCTTTGCATATGTGGACACCATCACCAATGGATTTGGCACCCTAGGCTTCCCCAACTTTGGGGGTGGAGGGCAAGCGACAGGACATATATACCTATTTGTGCCCCAGACCACAGGCATCAAGCCACATAAATCACTTTTCAGTGGTCCTGCAGGTCATGACTGTCAGGGACAGTTCACAGACATATGCCGGATGGTCGGGGAAGGCGCACAACACACACATCTTTAGGAACTCAAGAGTGTTCCAGAAGCTGCACGACAGAACTTTCTTCCCCGATCACATCAGGGTTGGGAACATGAACATGCACGTTTGCCTGGAGGGGGATGTGACCTATCCCCTGCAACCATGGCTCATTAAACCATATACCAGCCACCTCAAACCCTCCCAAGAGGCACTTAATGCCAGGCTCAGCAGGGCCCACATGGTGGTCAAGGGTGTCTTCAGCCACGTGAAGGCACGGTTTGGATGCCTCCTTACTTGCCTGGACATTGAGGAGCACAACATCCCACATGTGGTGGCTGTGTGCTGTATTCTGGACATGCAAATTAAAGGGGGAGACCTTCCTGCCTGGGGGGGGGGGCAGCAGGTCTATCAGGGCGCCGTGCACATCCAGAAGGCCCTGAGGGAGAGCTTCTCCCCAGGCGACCAGTGACACCCTCCGTTATTTCAAAATAGCGGTTTTGCTGTGTAGACTCTCACATAGTTATTTCGGAATAACAGCCTTTATTCCAAAATAACTTTGCTTTGTAGACACACCCCATACAGCAGTGTTATTTTGGCAAAATTGACATTTCAAAATAAAACAGTGTGCATCTATCCAGCAAGCTGTTATTTTGAAATGGAGGACTTCTTATTCCAACTCCTGTAACCCTCATTTCACAAGGAGCAAGGGAAACAGAAGGAAGAGTGTTCTTCCTTCGACTTCCTAACTTGCAGACTGCACCAAAAGCTGATTTAATCAATTTTTACTTCAGCTACGCAATTGCTGTATCTTAATTCAACTTTTGCCCTGCAGTGGAGAGGGCCCTGAGTCTGTCTGTCTTCTTGCTGGGGCACATGCACCCCTCCCCTGGCTCTGTTGTAGCAGCCATGGAGAGGTGCTTCTCACGTGACCCGAAGCTGCTGCAATGAAAAGGCTGGGGATGCCCTCTCTCCTGGCGTTGTTTTCATACTGAACCACTCCATCCCTACTCAGCTGAAGCTATTCAGATTATAGTTGATGTGGAGTTTTATATGATTTAAAATGAACACATTCTATAGGATCAAACACTTCCAGTCTGTATGTAATTTCTTCATGTTAGAGACCTTCAGGTTACCACAGATGCCAGGCCCCAGAAACTCCATTCCCATTACCTCTTAAGAGATCTCTTGCTTACTCTAGTCTCTCAGACTGAACCCATCCATCTCTCCCACTCATTCAATGACAGAAATAGCCAGTTATTTCAGCACCCCGAGATACTCTTCGGCACCACAACCTCAAGTGCTGGATATCTAGAAGTGCGTTCCCAACTGCTCCACAAGGCCCCACCTCATAGTTGTCAATTGTTGTGCAGCTCCATGTCCTATCCCTATCTCTGCTTGGAGAAGGCTACATTAACTGTATGACGAAGCTGACCAAATGAAAATTAGCTTTGCTTAAAGTGTCACACAGAGTTACACAAATCTTGATGGCCATGAATGGAGGTATCCTACATACTTGTACTTGTAAACTGTTTATTTTGTTTCATCCAAAGTCATTGCTATAAACCTGCACTTGGTATTTATACTGTCATTAGTCTAGTCTAATCAAGCTACATGCATTTGTCCTCCAGTTTCAAGCCAGCTTCCTTAACTTTCCCAGCCCTCAAATTCCCTTTCCTTACCAATAATTTACCTGTTCACCATCCATCCTTCTGGAAATACACTTTTATCTTCTTTAATGTTTGTCCTTCAAATTCCATACCCAAACAAGTGAGAGAAGATTAAACTGTGAACAACAATTTACCCTATTAACAATATTTAACTAAAAAGCTGAGCTTTCAGGATTCACATCACTTGTTTGAGAAAGTCTAACATGATTTACATGCCACATATGAGAAAAACAATGTACACTTTATGACATATGTTTGCCCCCATTTCCTATTAATAATTAAATCAATTCTTGCTCTGTCACATTATTAGTTCAGTATTTGAAATGTAAAAGTACCAAAACAAACCAGCCTTAAATCAAAGCATGTTTTCCCTCTCCAGCAGAGATTTATCTTATTATGAAATCAAATCATGCTCTCAAGAGTTTAGAAAAAAAACATGAATTGACATAATTTCAGCAAGATCTTTAATTAGCAGAATATTATTTAGTGTTATGTCAGAATATGTTCCTGCAAATATTTACACACATTTATAACTTAGCCCCATTAAGGTCAGTAGATTGTTCAGATGGGTAATTTACAGAAGTGAAATTATGCACTTATTTCAGAGATTGCAAGATCCTTACTCCTAACAACACTTTCGGTTTTGTATCATTTCTTCGTGTATAAGCAATGTTATAAATTAATTGCATAATAATATCTTCAAACAAAATATTGAAATCTGCGCATGGTCTCTTAGGGACTATAATGCCAAACTCACAAAAAACTAAAGTTCTGTTGACACCCACAGATGGTCTATCTCCCTAGCAAATCTGTTCTGTTCAATTATAATTGCCATCGCATAGCCCTACAGCTCTAAAGGTAGCCTTTGATGCAAGTGTTCAAAGGGAATGAAACCACGCACTGATCTTGGCAATGGATGCCACTTCCCTAGAGCTTTTGCAAGAGGAAGTGAGGTAGTACCACTATCCCACTCTTTTTGCAGACAGAACAAAAATCAAAGTGCCCTCAGGAATGACAGCCTCTCCCTGGAATATGCGCTTAGGTAACTAGATAGAAAAATGCAAAGAGATGGAGATGGGCAAGAACATTATCTGCATGACCTTCATACTTCTGTTGTTTTTGCTATCCTGTTGCAAACTGATGTGACATCACTCAGTTACACAAACGATTTAACTGTAATTTTTCTGTGGCTCCCCAATGATTAGCTATGCATTTTTTTTTTACTTTCTTTTTGCCATTCATCACCAAAAACGCTACAAAACATAACATTACACTGTAAAAATATGAAAAAACAATTCTGAAAGTATGATTTTACTTTGACAACTCAAAATACTTTAGAAAATTTAAACAAGTTCACATTTACAATTTTCACTGATATGCACCATTATAATTAGCATGCACTACTATAGTTAAGTTTCCCAGATTTAATACAGAAACGTCTTATTTTATACAAGTAAAAAGCCAAAAACATCATATTAACAGGAAACAAAATTAATGTAAAACTATGCAGATCACCATTCATATGTTAAATATGCATTGATTTTGTCTATAACAGGGTTGTCAAACATTTGGCCTCCTTCGTTGTTTTCATACTGAACCACTCCATCCCTACTCAGCTGAAGCTATTCAGATTATAGTTGATGTGGAGTTTTATATGATTTAAAATGAACACATTCTATAGGATCAAACACTTCCAGTCTGTATGTAATTTCTTCATGTTAGAGACCTTCAGGTTACCACAGATGCCAGGCCCCAGAAACTCCATTCCCATTACCTCTTAAGAGATCTCTTGCTTACTCTAGTCTCTCAGACTGAACCCATCCATCTCTCCCACTCATTCAATGACAGAAATAGCCAGTTATTTCAGCACCCCGAGATACTCTTCGGCACCACAACCTCAAGTGCTGGATATCTAGAAGTGCGTTCCCAACTGCTCCACAAGGCCCCACCTCATAGTTGTCAATTGTTGTGCAGCTCCATGTCCTATCCCTATCTCTGCTTGGAGAAGGCTACATTAACTGTATGACGAAGCTGACCAAATGAAAATTAGCTTTGCTTAAAGTGTCACACAGAGTTATACAAATCTTGATGGCCATGAATGGAGGTATCCTACATACTTGTACTTGTAAACTGTTTATTTTGTTTCATCCAAAGTCATTGCTATAAACCTGCACTTGGTATTTATACTGTCATTAGTCTAGTCTAATCAAGCTACATGCATTTGTCCTCCAGTTTCAAGCCCGCTTCCTTAACTTTCCCAGCCCTCAAATTCCCTTTCCTTACCAATAATTTACCTGTTCACCATCCATCCTTCTGGAAATACACTTCTATCTTCTTTAATGTTTGTCCTTCAAATTCCATACCCAAACAAGTGAGAGAAGATTAAACTGTGAACAACAATTTACCCTATTAACAATATTTAACTAAAAAGCTGAGCTTTCAGGATTCACATCACTTGTTTGAGAAAGTCTAACATGATTTACATGCCACATATGAGAAAAACAATGTACACTTTATGACATATGTTTGCCCCCATTTCCTATTAATAATTAAATCAATTCTTGCTCTGTCACATTATTAGTTCAGTATTTGAAATGTAAAAGTACCAAAACAAACCAGCCTTAAATCAAAGCATGTTTTCCCTCTCCAGCAGAGATTTATCTTATTATGAAATCAAATCATGCTCTCAAGAGTTTAGAAAAAAAAACATGAATTGACATAAATTCAGCAAGATCTTTAATTAGCAGAATATTATTTAGTGTTATGTCAGAATATGTTCCTGCAAATATTTACACACATTTATAACTTAGCCCCATTAAGGTCAGTAGATTGTTCAGATGGGTAATTTACAGAAGTGAAATTATGCACTTATTTCAGAGATTGCAAGATCCTTACTCCTAACAACACTTTCGGTTTTGTATCATTTCTTCGTGTATAAGCAATGTTATAAATTAATTGCATAATAATATCTTCAAACAAAATATTGAAATCTGCGCATGGTCTCTTAGGGACTATAATGCCAAACTCACAAAAAACTAAAGTTCTGTTGACACCCACAGATGGTCTATCTCCCTAGCAAATCTGTTCTGTTCAATTATAATTGCCATCGCATAGCCCTACAGCTCTAAAGGTAGCCTTTGATGCAAGTGTTCAAAGGGAATGAAACCACGCACTGATCTTGGCAATGGATGCCACTTCCCTAGAGCTTTTGCAAGAGGAAGTGAGGTAGTACCACTATCCCACTCTTTTTGCAGACAGAACAAAAATCAAAGTGCCCTCAGGAATGACAGCCTCTCCCTGGAATATGCGCTTAGGTAACTAGATAGAAAAATGCAAAGAGATGGAGATGGGCAAGAACATTATCTGCATGACCTTCATACTTCTGTTGTTTTTGCTATCCTGTTGCAAACTGATGTGACATCACTCAGTTACACAAACGATTTAACTGTAATTTTTCTGTGGCTCCCCAATGATTAGCTATGCATTTTTTTTTTACTTTCTTTTTGCCATTCATCACCAAAAACGCTACAAAACATAACATTACACTGTAAAAATATGAAAAAACAATTCTGAAAGTATGATTTTACTTTGACAACTCAAAATACTTTAGAAAATTTAAACAAGTTCACATTTACAATTTTCACTGATATGCACCATTATAATTAGCATGCACTACTATAGTTAAGTTTCCCAGATTTAATACAGAAACGTCTTATTTTATACAAGTAAAAAGCCAAAAACATCATATTAACAGGAAACAAAATTAATGTAAAACTATGCAGATCACCATTCATATGTTAAATATGCATTGATTTTGTCTATAACAGGGTTGTCAAACATTTGGCCTCCTTGATGCATTTCTGTGACTCGTGTCCTGAGATTATACAGAACCTAATATTGTTTTCTGTTTTCAGATTGCAAAAACAGTCTTCCAAATGTAAGTCAATATAGCATTATCCTCTCAAGTCTGCAGAGAACCTGAAACAATAAATCAGAAGTGTGATATCTGTTCTCTATTAATGTGGGTTGGAACGAATTTAAACCCCATAATGAAATCTCATCAGCACTAATTATTTCAATAGATAAAATGGGGTAAAGAG